ACTGGAAAGAAACTTGGCAATGCTCGAAACATGGACGATTCGGACCCAGTTCCCTGTGTGGCAAACAATTGCATTTGAAGCAGTGAGGCGATCATGCCAACACTTCTGCAGCATGTCATGTATGTCGATAGGGTCCTGCGAGACCGAAAGAAGTCCAATCATCACTGGCAGCAACGCATGTGGCGTTGCAATGGCGTTGCCAAGACCATGAAATGCCTCTCGAATCTTCGCTGACAGGGTGCAATCCTCAGTGGCTCCCAGCAATGAGACAAAAAGGGCAGGGTCGAAAAACGAGAAGCCCTTCGGTTGCATGCACAAAAAGGCAAAAGCCCCTTTAGCTTCAAGGTGTGAACTGTCCAATTCATGCTGGGCCGTATAGGATGCGCAGAGAGTTGGCAATGGTTCTTCTTCTTTTGGAATTCTTGCATAAAGGACCTGAGTTTGTGAAACAGGTCCACCACCACCAAACAACCCCCGCTTGGATGGGGGCAAGAAATTCACATCGCCATAAAACTCTTTCTCCGAGTCAGACAGAAGCAATTGTTCTTCCCAGATTCTTGGCACCTGAAATGAGAAGTCCTGGTCAGTCCATCTGGTGCGTGGAATGACATGTGGTGTGATCCTGCCATCATAGTACTTAGCATCCAGATCGAAACGGACACATGTGGCCAGCCATCTCGTGCGCATTTGTGGTGCCAAATGATTTAGAGGTGTCACTTGGGCCCACACGAGTCTGTACCCAAGCTGCTTTGCAATTTGGGTGAGGATGGCGAAATGCTCATGGTTCACAATGTTGTCGGCGCATTCCACTGCCATCATGTTGACTTGCAGCTTAAAGCCAAACAACAGCCCATCAATGAAGGCCCACCCATTAGCGCACGAGAGTCCCTGATGCCTGCCTCCTGTCGACCAGGGTTGGCATGGCGGCGACATAGTGGCCACAACATTGACCTGGTCATGACACAGCGAGAGAATGGAGTTCTCAGCTACTTGTGCAAGAATACCAACCTCTGCGTCAGCAATCCACGGCTGACATCCAAGGTGAACCTGGTCACTTTGGGGATGGATTCGGCAGTCAGAATCCAGACGTGGACGCCCGCGGCACGGAATGTGCGCGTTGGGACCATCGCAATGCCCGTGGCATCAAGGGTGGACTTGATGAGCTGGGGAGGCTCTGTGCCTGGTGGCCATCCGGAAGCTTGGATGGTGACCCTTGGGACAACATGTCTATTGTCGTCTGTGAGGCGCTGATCTGTTGGCAGCAGAGCAAGGCGTGCCGCTGCGATTTGTTTTGCCCAGACTCGTAGCGCCAAGCCACGACGGGTAGCGATGATGCCTGCCGCCCCCTCGACGCCGTGAGTGGCGATCCTCCTGTCAGCAAGATCTTGCAATGTAGCCGCCCAGAATTTGGGTAGCACCGTGGTGTCTTGTGGTATCTGCTGGTGATCAAGGAAGTCACGTGTCAGCAGGAAGGTGCGTCCTGATAGCTCCAGGATGGCGGAGCGGGAGGACTGGGGCACCTTCACGATGCATTGGATTTGTTGTTCGCCCTTCGGAGCACCAGGGTGCTTGTTGGTGCGCAGGCCATAGTACGTGGCCGCATTGGCAATGATGGGCAGCAATTGGTGCAAGTGCTGTTTGATGGTTGCAACAGGCTGTTCCGTTAGTTTGTCAAGCTCCTGCTTGGTCATAAGCCTTGAGTCAGCTTCCAAGACCAATTCGGTGATGGCTGAAGTTGTCATCTTCAGTTTGGGTGTTGCCAGTTGGTAGGAGGCCTTGCCAGCCGCAACATGGAGGAGGGCTAAGCGCTTGTACGCTGTCTGGGTCATTTGGTCATCAACTGTGATCTCGTATGGACCCGTGAACTCCTGGGAAAGACCTGGTGGCTTGGTGCCATCTGTGGTTGGGATCACAATGGCGAGGTCCCGCGGCCGCCTTCAGAAGTTCTGCCACATGAGTCTTCGTGGCAAGAACAACCCCAGCTCTTGATTGGGAAACTTGCAATCTGTGGACCTGCTTCAAGGGTTTCCCGTCAGCTCCAATGAAGGGAATTGGCGCTTGCAGAGACAGGTCTTCCCATTTGGATTGGGTCGGTTTGGGTCCTTTCCGGAGCCAGGGGTCGTTCTGCACAAGGATGTCCACTGCTCCTCCTTTTGCCGGATGTGCAGGTTGGCTGGAAGGATCTGGGCCTGGTGTCACATCCATTGGGGCCGGTGTCTGTGTACCCGCTGCCATGTAGACATCTGGAAACTGGTTGCGTGTGACCCGCAGGAGGAACCATTGACGTGCATGTAAGGCAAAATCACGAAGATAGGGCGGTGCATTGGCATTGTACCATCTCGCAACGGCCTGCTGTGTGATGTGTGCAATCGGTGCTGAGTGGGGTCCATCTTGGATCTCCTCAAACTGCTGGATGGCCAGGATGGGAAGCTGTATGTTGAGTCTGTTGTAAATGCTAAGAACCAGTTGGTGTCCACACATGCCAGGTGGGTGGAACTGGTTCATGGCGTGTACCACAAACGTTGCTTCATTGTAGCCAAGTGCTTGTCGGAGCTGCTGGACCAAGGGCTGGAGTCGTTCAAAGTCTGCACTGGGCGCCGTGATGTACAAGGTGGCTTGGTGCTGTGACTTGTAACATTCCATTTGGAACCAGTGCTGGTCGGTTTCAATGATCCACACAATGTGGCGGTAGGGACCATAGACCGGTGATGGCCTGGAGATGAAGTTCAGGGCTTCATTGATAGGGTCCCACGTGGCTGGAGGGCAGAAAAGGACATCTGGAAGTAAGGATCTGGGTCCTTCCAAAATGAAGTCAATTTCATCAGAATGCATCCAGGTGGGGTTGAGTTGGATGTGAAGCAGCCTGGTGTTGATGCGGAACTGGATCTGGTGATCCGCCTGGTTGTCAAGTGTAGGCGGGTCCGTTTGTGGCCTGTAGCCTGGCGGATGTGCTGTGTATAGGGGTCTCTGATTGGCGATCTGGCCATTGTTCGCCGTTCTGCGCAGCAAGGAGAGGAAAAAGTTCCTCCGGAGTCGGAATGCGAATTGGACCAGCCCATGCGGTGCTTCTGCTGCTCTCCAGTCTTCCACTGCTGATTGCAAGACAATGTCAATCATGTCACGGTTGTTCTCAGACATTGGGTTGTGAGTGTCTGAAGTGGCGATTGTGTCCCGTACTTGGTGGTCTCCCGCCCACCTGTAGAGGAGTTCCCAGCCGCAAAGGTGGGGTGTCCAGCTGGAGTCGTGATGAATGATGTTCATCCGGTGTGGACCGATGTCCAGAAATCGTGCCAGGATCATGATGATCCTTGTGTGGAGGTGTGGTGGCACTTGCACCGTGACGACAGTGATGTTTTGTGTCTGCTGGGCACTTTGGACAACCTCCAATGCGCACCAATGATCCCCCGCAAGGATGGGGATGTACGTGGTTCCATGATCCAAGACATTCATGGGCCCGAAGGGTCCATCTTCAAATTCAGATTGAGACACGTCCCAATAGACTGGTGGTGAGTACTGGGGCCCAGCAGTCGTGGACCATTGGAGCAGCTGTGTTGTGAAGACCATCTCATCGGCTGCAAGCCATCCGTGGGTATTGGTGGCAAACTCTGCCCTTTGGGTGAAGGTTGCTTGGGCTGGGATGGAAGGCGGGGCGCCTTGGGACTGGTGGTGCCCTCCTGCCTTGATGGCAGGTGTTGGTGCAACTTGCAAGAGCATGCCGTGCGTGAGCCCTTGCTTGTGAGGTGCGTCCAGGCGCTGGCCAATCTTGGTGATGGAGTAGAGTGTTCCGCCCATGATGAAAGTGACAGCTCGATCTTGCTGAGTGTCAAGCTTGCATGCCCATATGCAAGGGCCAGTGTCGGTCTGAAGAAAGACAGTGATGAGCTTACTTGCACTACTGCAAGCAGCAGTAGGTGTGACAGAGAGCGCCACGACATCCTGTGGGAGGCCAAGCTGACCGCAGAAATCGGTGCTGATGGAAGCCAGGCTCTGGATTGCAGCACACAAGATGGTGCGCTGATGTGGTTCAGCAGTGCATGCGAAGGAGACACCCAAGTCAGGGATGCACAGCACAAAATTCCATTGATACGGGGTCCATCCCAAAGAGAGACGCTCAAGGATTCTCCAAACCCCCAAGTCCAGGAGGCATGAGAGAGTGTAGGGAGCAAAGGTGCACAGAAGGCCTTCTTCTCGTGCTTGGCTTCCCAAACTCGCATCACTTCCTCACTTGCGTCGACTGAGATGTGCCTGCCAAAGATGGCCGATGATCCCTTCTTGGACAGCCAATGAATAGCTTGCTTCCACCCGCCAAACACTCCCGAGAAGGCGTGAACAACCGTCCATGTCAAATCTGTCTGCAGCTCTGGCCGGTGAATCACCACAGCCTTCGAATCAAAGCAGATCTCCCCATCCACTTTCACTGAGTTCAAAGGTCCAGCAATCACCACCCGGCCACCTCTGCACAGAGAGATGGATCTCTCAGTAGCTTGAGGCACCCGGATGATGCACGAGCGACAGTCCTTAGAGGCCAAATCGAAACCACGCATAGGCACAAATGGGGCTTGGAGCATGTGGACAAAGTCATGTCCGAAGTCGATCACCTCGCCAGCGGTGACAGTGCAGCCGTCCAGAGTAGGGGTATGTGTTGTAGTGGACAACACCTGGACCAGCCCTGCCAGTCTACCATCAAAAGGTGCACGGAGGCAATCAACCACATGTGGATCCAACATGGCTCACAAAGGCGTGGAGGAAGCGGTGAGAACAAAGGGTCCACAAAAATGGCAAGCCACCTTTGGAGTGGCCCTTGTGGACGTTCCGTACACCGCTAGGCGCAGTGTCCCGGAACCACGGGGGGCCTGTTCCCCACCAGCTCCTAGGCTTTGGGCCAGAAGAGCTATATATACCATGTTATACCTACAAGACTTCTTGTATCTTCTTGTGAACGTTCGAAGACAAACACATCCAAACAGCAAGCAAACACCTCTGGGTTTCCGCCCGGCAGCTGAAACATCTGGAGCTCTGTGATGTGAGCCTTTTGCACCAGTGGAACTCCACGTTCCGTCAGAAGAGACCAGCTATAGAAAGCATAAACAACCTTGGATGGAAGCGACTGGGAACAAGGTGAAGCGGACCGAGAAGCTGGGTGGAAGCTGCTTGCTGCTTGGTTTAAGTAGAACACTCTCTGAATCTGCGGCAGCCAAAGGGACAGCCCGAGTGGCCGAGTTGACAGAGGCGGGAAAGTAGGTGTCGCCACCGCAGGCATAGCGACATGCAAAGAACCAGCCCCACATGTTCAAGAGACGGAGCCTCAAACAAAAATTGCCGCATCAAGCACTTGCGATTTATCTTTTAATCATTGACCCATCATGTCTGATCTTCAAAATAGGGACATGGACATGGTGTTGCTTTCCATACTGGTGGATGCTTTGAGGCCGCGTCCAAACATGCAGAAAGGTAATCTTTTGAAATTTCCTTAGGAACACGAGAAACGTTTCAATGCTGCAGGTTGATTGACTGTAGCCACATCTGCACCATTGATTGCGTCAGAGCTTCTTCCGAATGACAACAAAAAGCCTTGGCTGCACACTAGGGGCAAGAAGGGATTAAATAAATTGCAAATGCATGCAAATTCGTTCCGTTTGCGTTTCGCATCGGGATCTTGTGAAGCTCAGCCTGCCCTGCATCACTTACTTTGCCATCTCAGCATTAGCATGCATTAGCATTGACACAGAATCTCCATCTGTTGTGACTGAACTGTTAGAGCTGAACTTTAAACAGCTGCTAACAGCTAAGTGGCGTATCCAGGAGCTCCAGTTGGCAGCCGTGATAATGAAGCCAAATGAAATAACCAAGTCGGTGACCTTCCTCTCTTGGTGGCGGAACTCTACGTCTCAGTCACAGTCCCAAAAGTCAAGTTCTGCTTCGTGTCACCCTTTGGATGAACAAATAAAGCAAGAAAAAGTTGCTTTACTTCGAGTGACCCTACCATGGCACTTCAACCATTTGTTTTCATGCCATGGTGAGGAGGATGTTGCCATTTGGTCGTGAGTTTTGTGGTTTTTGATTTTGTTTGTGGGTCCGGGCTTGGGATTGTTATTTCAGTGTTAGGGAGTTCGCGTCGGGGTGTCGCCACGGTCTCCAGTTGGCATCCGAAAGTGCTACCCTGTGACCACCTGCCACGCAAAACACCAGGCACATAGGTAATTATATTGTTGTAGTTGTGTGTTCGTGGTTGTGTTTGAGCGTTGTGGTTGTATGTTGTGGTTGTGTGCCGTGGTTGCGGTTATGTGTTGTGGTTGTGTTGTGTGTTGTGGCTTTGTGTTTGTCTGTATGTTTGTGATTGTGGCTGTGGCTGCGGTTGTGTGTTTGTTGCGGCATGTTTGTGAGGTCGTGTGTTGGTGGCTGTATGCTTGTGATTGTGTTTGTGGTTGTGATTGTGGTGGTGTTTGCGTGTTTGTGGACATGTTGTGTGGTTGTGTTTTGAGGTCCAGTAGTGCCCACTGTGATCGGGAGCTGGCGGTTGAGGTGTCATGCCCACTGCGATCGGGGACTTGCGATCTGGCATGTCCGGCAGTGCCCACTGCAATCTGGCACTTGCCCACTGCGCTCTGCCACTTGCTGTAACTTGCTGGCGAGGAGGAGGAGGAAGAGGAAAAGGAGAAGAGCTCTGAAAAAATCTAACAACCCTCACCTCACCTGGCAGGTGGGGAACAAGAAAGTAAGGGCCCCTTTGTTCACAACATTTCCGGCCGGCCTTGGTGTATGTGAAGATGTTGCCCCAAGGCCTAGTGAAGCCTTGCCTTACAATGGCAAGCTTCAAGAAATGCATCGCTTTGAATAGAAGGACGTGTTCAAAGGAATTGAGCCACTCACAGGTACGCTTCTCGAAGGAGCTGACTGCAAACGAAGGCATTGAAGAGCATTTGAGTCATGTTGTAGACCACAAGCATCTCAAAAATGCTGCTCTGGATGGGCAATCTAGCCTTCAAAATCTTCAAACACAAAGCACGGCAAAGCACGGTCATGTCGACTTCTCTAGACAGGACAATCAAACGGGCTGCTCAATCCTCGTACGTCCTTTAGCACTCCTAATTTTTCACCAGAAAGTACAGTACAGTGCCGGTGTCACTGGGACACCTGGGTACTTTGACCTCTCAAAAGCAGTTCTTCGTATTGCGAGAGATCCTCTGCACTTTTTAAAAGCACAGTACAGATATAGGCACAGGTAGACTCAGGTCCTACTGGTATTCCAGACTAGCACCTGCCGACGATGTCGGGTCTACAATGCGGCTCGAAGAATTTCACTCAGTGCACGACATGGTGAACCACGTGGTGGACGACTGTCGAGCCACCTGCATGATATGCACCACCGGCATGATATGCACCACCGGCATGGTAAGCACCACCGGCATGGTGGACAACATGGACTGCACCGCCCGCTCCACCACCACAGCCCAAGTGCTGATTGTTGCAGCACCAGGTCTTCTTGGGAGCTGACCATCCAATGTGCCAATTGTTGAGGCCTGCATGGCAATCATAAGGAGCACTTACCACACCATGACCATGGACGGCTTGCCAGGTCCAGTAGCCATTCACTTGAACATGTTTCCACACCATTCCAGCACCAGCATCCACCGATGGTGCATGGCCACCTTCACAGCCTTTGCCTCGCTTAGTGCAGCACCAGTGCTTCTTCTCAGGAGACCAGGCGCGGAAGAAGTTGTTCAGGGCCGCGTTGCAGTCGAAGGGATCGCGTCCACTGACCTCGACCTCGCAGCCAGCGTCCTGAATGCTGCAACCTCGGCAGACGTCGCAATCCACCTGGATCTTGCTGTATGCCAAAGCGCATTTGTTTGACTTGGAACCAAACACATGCTCTGAGACCCACTTGATGCGGTCAATGCACTTGGAGCCTTCGCCATTGATATGGCAAACGGCATCGCACTTAAGCGGAGACAAAGTGGTCCTTGACAGGGCAACGATGTTGCTCCGATGCCTTTCTACATTGAACTGCTTAAACACCTGAGCAATCTTTTAAACCGCATATGAGATGTTCACATATGTTCATATACAAGTTGGTGGTTCAGACTGAAAGCCTTGCCCGACCCTGGTCCTTGGACAAGCCTTTTGGAAGTTGTTGCAGCACCAGTCGCGTTTCTCGGTACCCCACATGGCGCTAGCACCTGTGCAATGGAACTTCTGGCATCCTCGGGCGTTGTGCTGGCAGCACCAATCCTTCTTGGAGTCAGACCATCCTTGCATCCAGTTGGAAAAGCCTGCGTTGCAATCGTAGATCCTTCCGTGGGCATGGCCAACGCCATGCATCATGTGGGCCGAGAGGTGATAGGATCCATGCCATGTGCCTGGGCATCCCATGTTGGCATTCTGACAGCACCATCCCTTCTTATGAGCAGACCATCCAAAGTACCAGTTGGAGTATCCACTGTGGCAGTCATACTTGAAATGGGAATGATGATAGTGCACAACAGGCGCGGGGGCCGGCACATTCACGTAGATGACATGACGGTGCTCACGATGAGGTGGGCATCCCCTGCCTTGATTGGAGCAGCACCAAGCGGCACGGTCTGCAGACCACATGACTTGCCAGTTGTCGTAGTCGGTTGTGCAGTCAGGCATGGGTGACTTTGCGGGCATTGCGGCCGGACGAGGCCACAAGAAGTAAGCCAGGAGGCCCAAGAAAGGAAGCAGGATGCAGCAAGGAACCCAAGGGCGAAGTTGATACCCGGTGTAGGTCGTCTTGACCTTGGCAATACTCATGATTGCTCTGTTGTGTTCGAGATTTTTTTATTGTTTAACGAAGTTATCCAAAGTTGAGACTTTAAACTGTGGCAGGTCTACCGGCGGTCAAATGTGGCAACCCATCTTTAGGTCTTTAAGGTCTGTGGAGCTCAAATCCAGAGTTTTCAATGATCCACAGTGATCAATTGCTCAACGTGCTGAAGAGCCGCTTCCTTAGCATATTCACCGCGTCCTTCTCCCACAAACTCAATCTGGCTTTTGCTCGCATAGGCACCACGGCCCTGGCCCACATATGCCCACTCAGTTGTAGTGTGAGCAGTGCGGGGGTCAGCCTCCATCAAGCACTCGGTGTCGCACATCTTCAAAAAGATGCAAAATGCGTCACAGATCAAAGAATCAAGTCGCGTTGAGCCGGAAAATGCTCAGCCGAGATAGATTTCGCCACAAGAACCACACAAACAACATCAAACAACAGGTTGATCATTAATGACACAATATGACGCAAGATTGGCCACTCGAAACCACAAAACTGAGCCTCCATCAATCTTGACGAGCAGTGAAGCATGGAAAGGTATCCTGAAGTCAAAATGGGTCATCGAATGCAATCGACCTCTCTGAAGAGCACAATTCAGCAGTGCCAAAGTTGTTGGCCTTTTGGACAATTTTCCTTCCAGGGCACCAAGGGAGACGACCACGAGCACTGCAAAACTGACGTGGGAGTTATGCCCTCCGACGGTCGCTTCAAACTCGCTGGCGTCCACACTCCTTTGCACGGTCAGCGACCCTAGGGTTCCCTGTTAAAGTTGGGAGTTGAGCATTGGGAAAATCAAGAAAACTTGACAAGCGCTCGATGTTCACAAGAAAGAAGGGCAAGCCGGGTTTGATGGCGCTTGAGCAAAGATATGCCAATAAGCAAGGGTTGTCAATGGTTTTCATGTGTGCATGTCATGCAACTCTATTCTGCAGGTCCGCCACAATTCCATGCCGGAGCAACAGTCCACAATTCCTCCCAATGGTTCTTTCCCAAAGGCCTTCCCTCATCACATTTATTCCATCTGGACCATATTCGACAAAGAGTCTGCTCCCATCGTCTTGAGCCCCAGCAGGCCAAGACCGGCAAGATGTAGTGCAAATAGCAAAACGTCACGAAGGCCGCAGCAAAGACCCAGCGCCTCTTGAGCCGACCCGCACTGTGCCGCTCCTTAGATTGGTGATGCTTTGGGTACCTAAGGGTGTCCTTCTAAATGATCTAAAGATATCTAACGCTTCTAACAACACACAGTCACAAAATGTCACAAGTTAACCCCCCTACCAAACCTGTCTCATGATGGTGGAAAGAACAATGTGCAATCGCACTCAAGCCATAAACAACTGAAATGCATACTCTTTAAATGCATGCGTGTTCGCAGTAGCAAGAGCTGGCCAAGTCCAAAACCTGTTGTTTTGCAGCCTAGTTAAAACAAAATGCTTAAGCTAGCCAGCTAGCCCACAGAAATCTTCCAGTATAGCGACCACCAGAACATCCACCAGCATCAAAGCACGGCGGCGTGCTTCCGCGGCGGACTCATAGCGGAACATGTGATTAAAAATTGAATCTGACAGCTCATGTGCCTGCAGGGTAGGCACACAGTCGGACACAGAATCAAGGGATAACAAAGGCGCATTCAATAACTACTCAGCTGCAGAATTAAGAGACAGTGTCCCTATCTGCAAACAAAGGACGACGAAGGATTATAAAACCAATTTCAAAGTTCAGTGCTCCAACGATTTGCTTTTTGCACTTTTCATCCACCTTGGCCGAGAGCTCTGTGGCCGTTGCTTGTGCTCTCGCGGACAGCTCCGTGGCAGTTGCCTGGGCTTTGGCCGAGAACTCTGTGGCCTTGGCCGACAGCTCCGTGGCAGTTGCCTGGGCTTTGGCTGAGAACTCGGTCGCCTTCGTCGACAGCTCAGCCGCCATGTCATGAAGCGTCGGCAGTTCCGAGGCCGCGAAGGGTGACAGCTCACGGATGCGTGCGAAGTGGCCAGGCGGTGGGGACTCTTGGCGGTCCTGTCTGCACTGAGAAGTCATTGATTGGAACCACGCACATAAGAGAGATCCACTACTGTAGAAAATACAAATATATATATATATCCATATTTACACATATGTATACAGATAGATATGTATTGAATAGAATTGAATGGATGTCTTGCTCGTTTCCTTTTGGAGATTGCAAAACAAGCCAGAGTCACCATGGCACCAGCCCTGGGGCTCCCCTTGGCCATCTTGTTGTCGATGTTGGGCTCTGACGCCGGTTTGTTGGGCGAAGCCATTGCACAAAAAAGACTCGCCACACCGCGCAAGGTGTTTTTTGAGTCCGCTGATGTCCGCTGTAGTATGTATGTGCTCATATGTCATGTGCTCTTTCGATACCATTCGCCGATCCGCCAAAAATAGCCATACTGGATGTATGCTGGCGAGGTACGAAATATGCTGATTGGTGTCCTCATATTGTCTAGTAACTTATTGAACAAAACTAACAATTTCGGCCTATGGGTTGACTATAGACTATGCCATATCTATCCATATCTTAGTTCGTCTAAAAGTAGCCCACTTTATTTCGGAAGAGCGTCTAATCTTTCTCAGTTGCTACCAACAAGTTCACCGGAACTTGAATGATAAGGTACAGTAACTGCTCCTCTGATCTCTTTTCATTTCGTCTCTTGAGCTGAGGGAGAGTTGCTACAAGCACATTTGGGCACGACTTGAAAGTCACACCGACCGAAGATTCCAAAATCATCAATGAAGTCCTTGCAAGAATCACCCAGTGGGCATGCTTCTTTCCCCAAGTCTCTCGAGAACTGCGCCCCCCCCGAATTCAACAGCTGTAGCAAGAACAAACAAGAGGCTTTGGTGGCGCAACCTCAAGCAGTGTACACTCGGTCACTTGCAAAAATTGAAGAAACGCTGTATATTCTAAAGATGTCATGTAATGCAAAGCCACAGCTGCAGCCCTCTGAATTGCCGATTGGCTTGCCGATTCAATTGAGAACAAGCTGACTCGTTCACTACTTTCAGCTTGAGCAGGATCGTTGTGGAACCGCCTCAAGTCCTACAATCAACACAACTGCTGAAAACTATACATTACACTACACCTACACGCTGCATGCACCACTTTCTGCACTACAAGTTGCGCAAGTTGACACTTGGAAGTGAGAGATTCACAGAGAGTGAATCGGTCCTGTTTTCAACGGACGTGCTGCACAAAGAAGCGCAGCCTACGCTGCATGTTCATGCGCATCTTGATGCATTTTCAAGAATGTTGAAAAGCAAAGTTCAGGTACCCAACAAAAAACAACAGCAAGTGCTTGCAGCCCACCAGCAAGTTGGAGACTTCTGAACTTCATTAGCAGCAAACGGACACCTTCAACCAAAGCTGGTCGAACTCCTCCTTCAAAGCTTCAGCACCTCTGGCAACATAGAGTACAAACTTACTGCGATGGGTGCTAGATCTAGGGGGCAGCCCAGGTGGAGGCGGGGTCAGCGCAAGGCAGGAATCAGGCGAACAATTAAGGTCAAGAGTCATGAAACATCATGAAGCCAAATAAAATGACCAAGCTGCACCTGCCTTGCTCTTTCCAAAGGCCAAACACCTGGCTAGGGCTAGTTCAATCTGCAAAGCAGGCTTTCTGCGCGTAGATATCTGAGACCGTCGTTTGAAGACAAGACCCGGGTACCGCTGCCAACAACGCTCGTCGTTTCTTCGCCTCAAAGAACATTCAAAGAACTCACTTAAACTCACTCCGAGCGGGTGTAATCTCCAAACTTCTGGTTGCCCTCACCGGCCCTGAGCTTTCAACCATAGCCTTCCGGTGTAAGTGCATCCGACCAACCTGTGCAAAACACCAGATTCGAGACGCTTTGGTGAGTGCATCGAATCGCACTCCCGCACATGGCTCTTCCAAGCGCCAAAAAGGCTTGTTGTCTGCTTTCGGAGCATCGCTTGCCTGAGTGGCATCAAGCAAAGATCCCTCTAGCACTCTGCTTCTCAGCACCACGAGTGAGGTCATGCAGTTCTGGGAATCATCTGACCCCTACACTGCAATATTGGCCATCAATCTCATCGGCCAAGTACGAGTATTGTTAAATATGTTGCTTGAACGGCTGTAGGACAGATTGTCCTCCCTGGCTCCCTGCAAGTCGCCCCAATCTCAGGCCGCGTCATCAGTGTTCTGAGCTTCACTCTTCCCTACCAATCTCAGGCCATAGTCATACAGTAGCAGCTTTGCGCTTTAAAGGGTTTCTCATAAACTCATTGCTTAGCCGTGAGTTGTCTGCCCTTCTTTTGTATTCGCTGCAATCAGCTCTGAACAATCCAGACCAACTTGCTCCGGCCTCTGTAGCGACGTACATTCTTCACACGATGGACTTGTACAGTGCAATGACACATGCTCATCCGGATGAAACGTGAAAGATCAAGGTAAGCTGCGCTTCAAAGTCCATGTAAAGACTCCTGAAAAGTATCCAAACGCGCATTAGAGTTTCTGGAGCATCAGGCACCAAACGGGCCTCTCGCTGAAACCTTTCAAACAAGGCCAGGCTCGGGCTTCCAACCTCTGCCAAACATTGTTGGGGCTTGAGAAATGGTTCCCGTTCCGGCCAAAACATGAACCTGCCGATCTGTTGCGCAAAACCGATTCTGAGCACTGCGGTTTGGCAACTCGCAATCGGTTTTGGTGCAGGATTAAGAAACTTAGGCAGCTAACCGTCGAGCTTTCGGTGGTTGCGTATCAAACATGGTGCCTTTGAAGTACAAGCTAGGAATGGCCGGGGAGAGGACCTTCAAGTCTTGGGACATATATGGGGCCCGTATTGTGCATTGAGGCACCTTGAAAATATCGAAAGTTCGACTCAAGCCACATTTTGGGAACACTACTGGACTATGCTGCGTTATCACCCTTGCTTTGAAAGCTGATACTCACTGAAAGGACAAAGCATAGTGATCAGTGATCGTCCAACAGTCCATTGAAGAAAGAACAACTCATCATATTTGTATAGTGTTGTATATAGAGGTGTACACAAATCGACGCGAGTTAACTCAAGCTCTCAGTGATGTCGCCAAGCCCCTTTGCTGTGTTATCCTTAGCGGCTAAGCGGCTTTTGCACAATGTTTATCATGTCTTCCTTGTTTTTAGGTCAGGGACCATCAATTAGAGTGGTTTCTTCTGTCACTGTTCTCGGAGCCCTGTTGCGTGACAAATCTCTAAGTATCGCTTTGTTAATTCTGATGTCTGCTTGCACCAAACCAAAACCTAAGTTGCAGGAGTTGCGTCCAGTCTTGAAACATCTTGAAACAGTGGTGAAGAGCTAATTTGATTGAAACATTCTAAAGAATCCGTGATCCTCAGTGACAGCTGAGCTGAAACATCCAAGGGGCACGGCTGAATCAGAGTGTCATTTCTGGTAGCACTTCTTTTTCAAATGGCCAATTTTGCCTCAGGCACCGCTGAAAGAAGCGTCCCTATTTGGGGGCCGTGCTCAATGTCGCCAGGACAGCAATGCAAATTTCGGCCCAAGCGCCACAATACTCACAGGTCTTTTCTCGGCTCGGGCAGTCGGCAACAGGATGCTCTGTGGATCCACAGCCTGGTGTGGTGAAAAAATGTGCAAAGCCCTTTACAAGAAGCTATTACAAATAAGAAGCTATTAGAAACAAGAAGCTATTAGAAACAAGTGCATCGCTTCTA